TCGGACGAATATCTATGTCAAAAAAGAAAATCTTTTAATTTTTCTTTTAAAATCAATTTTCTTCACACTTACAAGTTAAATCAAGATCAAAACCATCCTGTTGATAACGTCGCTTTTTTTTACTTACAATTTGACGCATTCGATTCATTGGATTAGTTATCATATAAATAAATAAAACAAAAAAAACACAAAAGGTCATTATGACATACATAATATATTATTAATTATTATTCTCCAAAAAATAAAAATGAATTTGTACAATAGATAGTAAAAGATTTTATTTTTTGTGTAACATAGAACGATAATTTACTTTTGTAATATAAAGTAAAAGCAAAAACAAAAAAAAGAAGTCAGAGAAAAATTTTTGTTACTTATGTTTCAGTGTCACGATGTTCTCTTCTTATCCTCGTTTTGTTCCCTCAGTGATATTTGTCAAAGAAAAAAAAAAACAAGCATTTCTAATAACAAATGCAGAAAAGAACACGAAAGAAAACAGATAAAAGATGAACTATCTTCAGAATGAATCAATTATTTTGCGTTGTTTTATTGACTTCATCAAAAGAAATTAATCAGAGAGGAAATAAATGTTCGAGAAAATAACAATACAATACAATAGACATGCATTTATCAAATCAAATGATTCATTGATAATGATATGAACGACCTCTTTTACAATCATTTCTTTTATCATTGGATAAAAATTTTATCAATAGAAAATTAAACACCTGATAAATAAGTGATTGTTTTCTCTGTTCATTATAGTCATGTAAATAATTTTGAAAAATGACAATATGTAATAAAACAATTCAATCAGTTATTCATGCAACGAATACTAAATATACTGATTTTTCAATTGAGATTTTATTATCATTAACTATTTATGATTTTAAACAAAAAATAACATTAAATCATCCAACTAAACTAGTAAGAATAATAATTTTTTTTTTTCATTTTCTTTTTCTAATTTATTTTCATAGAATTCTAAAGATCAACATTTGATTTACTCAGGAAAATTAATTGTTGATAAAAATATACTTAATCAAGTATTTAATAAAGTAAGATAATCATAATATCTATTTTTGAAATTAAAACTGAACAATCCAAGATAATAAACTGCTTATAACTCTTTAGAATGTACAATTGTTGAAGAGTAATATGTATAACTGTTTATGGTTTGTCTAGACTTAGTGATCGGAATTTTCATGATCTAATTGATTTATGTAGTTACATTATGTGTACATTGAATGCTCTATTCAAGTATTTTAAGCAGTATCCTTCTGTATTATGAGTGAAAAAAAAAATTTTTGATAACTGATATACAAAGTTTGGTTTAGGTTCAATTAGATGTTTTTTTCTAAGAGTTATTTCTTTCTTTTGATGGATATGTACTAAGATAAGGGAAAATTTCGTAGCGTGGTTAATCGAAAGGGCTATCTGGTCAGTCGTGCACATAGCATGATTCATCGACCTTCAAATTCTAGCAGTCATGCGAGACATATTCTCGATAATGGTTGATGAAATGTTTATATTAACTTTAGAAGCTACATGTATTTTCATAAAGCTCTGATAGATTACAGATATTATCGTCATGTAGCTCACGAAAAATTATAGGTAGTTTATTAATATCAGGTTGATCAATTCAAGTCAAAAAGCTGTTTAAACGGCTGAGCTCTTACGAAAACAGTTGGGCTAAAAAAAGATTAGTTCTTATAAAAAGAACTGTTTTAACAGTTCATTTGATGTAGACTTAAAAGTTGAAGTTATCATACGTCTAATCAAATGCTAAGTTGGTCGCCTGCTTATGATGCTTTTTCTTCTTCGAAATTTTCAATAAAAGACTTCATTCTTTTATCAGAAAATGTAAGTATCAAAAAAATATAATGGAATGTTTCGGTTACTAAAATACAATAAGCGATGTTGTTTTTTTTTCAATCTTTTTCATTGAATATAATCATGATTAGTTATTGATTGTGACTCCATTGTTTATTTATTCAGTTTGTATATCTGTTTCGCTAAGTTGCTATTTACACTTTCTAATCGATTATTATGTAACATAAATCATTATCTAATTTCTTATCAATCCCTGATTTATATTATCATAATATGTCAGGGTTTGACATATCCTTGTCAACTAGTTCATCATATTGAATCATATCGTTTGTTTTTCTTTTCGTCTATACTTGACAGCAAGGAGCTGCGGGTTCATATTTTTGTCGATTCGAATTCGAGAAAATCTAAACTTCTGAACTCGGGTCTGAACCTGGCCGAATTCATATCCGAATTTTTTTCGATCAAGGCTTTATCTATCTATTAGCTACTCTCAGAAAAAAAGTCAACGTACAGTTTTTTTTTTTTGTTGTTGTTCACTTTCCCGTCACTTGATGCTTAAGAAATGAAAAGTTTTCGCTTAATTGAAAAAAGCATTGTGTTAACAAAAAAGGAAATTGAACATTTAATTGATAAACCGAATTCGTCAGCTGTATAGAATAGTTTTAGCTGTATTAATATAAATGAGATCAAGCAAGAAAATGTTTTATGCAACCAATATAGAGAGCTGTGGATCCAAGTTTGGAACAACCCGTACTAGTGGGAAACATCAGACTTCAAGACTGAAGTCTCTGCTATTTCTCTCTTGCACTTGCAGCTCCCTACTCGATAGCTACATAATGTAGTTGCCTAGAGTCATTTCGTTTTGGTTTACATACCATCTTCCGGTCTTCTTTTAAAAAGAGTTGTCTAGTACCACTTAATTTTCATCATACTATGAGTGTATAGAAGAAAAAAGTACACTAATCATGGCATGCAGATTAGGTTGATGAAAACAGATGACGGGCAAAAAGCAGACTGAAGAAATTCATACCTGGTCATGAGCAAAATAGATCTACACAAAGTAGAACTATTTGGATGTTTGTTTGACCTTTTTCAGGCTATCATAGGAAAATAATTATTCATTTTTGTTCGTTGCTTATATATTGTAATCCAATGACAATGCAAGTGATTTATGGCTTTCACTTTCTTTTTTATAAGTTCGTATTGATTTCAGCCATCTATTTCTTTTTCTATTTCTATATTATCATAAAAAAATATTTCTTGTTTGTTTTTTTTCTCTCCAATCAAATTAAAAGAAAATGACAATCTGTTCCATTTCAAAAAAGAAACTATTCTTTCAATCAATAATAAATACAAACAAGTGAAAAAAACATATATTAGAATTCATATCTATATATATATTTTTATAAGGTTTCATAGTGTTAATAAAAAAGTAAAATGTTGCTTATATTACTATTTGTTTTTTTAGTCAAATTCTAGATCAACATTTATGATTCATCTTGTTCTTTATTCTGATTAAAATAAGTTTGTAAGATTTATTTTTGAAATAAATTTTCATTAAATTTCTTTTCATTTTTAGATACAAAAAATTCTCCACAATTAACAATCGAATTATGTATAATTATTGAAGAATCATCAATTGTCAACAACAACTTCAACAGTAAATTCACCAACTGCGAATAATAATGAATTTGATCAAGAAAATGATCTATTAAGAATATTTCGTATTTTAATTGAAATTTTTCTACTTTGTTCAATTATTTATGTTTAATCAATATTTAATCATTTCATTTTTGTATTATTATATTTGTAAGTTTAAAGAAGAACAAAAAAATCATTAAATACTATTTTTATTTTATTAGATATTGTTGTGATTGTTTATCTATTCAACAACGTCGACATGTACTACAAATACCACCTATTATTGAATAAGTTGTAGATAATGATATTGAACAAAGAATTGATGAAGAATAAATATAAAATTCTCATGATTTTCAACAACAACAAGTATATTTTTAAATTAGAATAATAAATATATATTGTTCTCATATTTTCAGAAGATCTCATTTCAAATCCAAGATTATGTATATCATATTAATCTTTCGACAGAATAGTATTATCCATCGTTCACGAGTTGAAAAATCTAAGTTTCTTACAATTCTACATAAAACTATGACACAATATAATCATAGATTAAAAGAATTCAATATCATCTCGATAGTGAGGATGACATTTGTCTTCTACTGACTGAAGTCAAGTTCATAATAGAAATCTAGCGAATGTATGAATTTAATAGAATTCTACTTTATTATCCTTCACTTTCAATATCTGAATTGTGTTGAAAATAGATATGAGCAAGATGGTCCTGAGTCCACATCCACACCATTGTTTTTTTATTGGAATTAGGACCAAACTTTTTTTGACCTGAACCGGGATCGAATAACTTTTTTTTTATCAGGACCGGAATTAAATTGGTTTTTCTGACCGAATCCGGGACTAGAATCCAATTATTCTTTTTTTGGTCAGAACCGAGACGGACACTTTTCCTTTGGAACAATGCTTTTTATGGTCATGTAAAACTTGCGTCGAATGTCATATTGCCATGACTCATATTATGTTCTACATAGATATGGGCAACATGACCCCAATTCCAACGAAACTGGGATGCGAACTAATTTGTTATCCTGACCTGAACTAGGATCAATGTTTTTTTTTGGCTAGAATGAAACATGACTAGTTTTGCTTGAAATTTTTCAATTAGTTAATTCTGATCGGTGTTGAATTCTTTCACTACATGAAATTCTATAGAATTACAAATTTCTTGATTGTGAGTATATATTTCTTCTTCTTACAAGTTTACAATTATGTTTAATGCAACATACAAATTAAATCCTATGAAACATTTGTTTGTTATATCTGTTCAGTATTGTCAATATGAGATCTGTTGTTGAAAATCAAATCACAACAAGATATCTATGGCTTACAGCCATAGTAATATTTTCGTCTCATCATTAATTCCGGAAAGAACACAACAAATTTAATTTAAAAAAGAAAATAAATCAATAAAGACTCTCATTGTATTTAGTCTTTTTTTATTTTTCTAGATTGATATACATATATATATATTAGAAAAAAAGAAAAAAACATTTGATGGTTGTTTTCTTTAATCTATGTCGATACGTATTAAAACTAAATATCATTGTTGTTCATTATTAATAATGTTTTCACGATGTATGTCATCCATCTATAGATCTTTAAACCAAAATTGTTCACGAAAAAAATATTTTTTATTGACAAATTCAGTATTAACTAATGATAATAATAAATTAATTTTATTTAAAATAATTCAAGAAATATCATTAACATTTGGTTTATCATTATTTTTACTTTATCTTTTTTATCAATTATTGGGAAATTTTCTATTAATTATATTTATTGTATGTGGAGTACTTTGTAAGTATATTTTATTTTTCTTTTTCTTTTTTTTGTTGTCACTTCTAAATAGAAAAAAAAAAAATTAAAGTAGATTAGAATCATATATTTGTTTGTAGAATTTCTTTTTATTTTCTTTTTTTTTTTATTTTCTTGAATTTTATGCAGTCGATAAACTGTTTTTTTTATCGATGTTCAAATAACAAATAAGTATGTAAATTCAGTTCTTTTTAATTATATAAAAATTATTCTTTTTGCTTAAATAAAAAAAAAAATACATAAAATCAAATTAAGTAAATTATTTTGTTTTTCTCTTTTAGTTACACTTTATGGTCTTCAAGATGCATTACTTTATCAACCAAATGAACCAGATACAGCACGAACAATTGTTCTAACACCAGACTTATTTCAAATGCCATATGAAACAATAACAATTGAAACATCAGATAATGAAAAATTACATGGATATTTAATAAAACAAAATCATCATTCAAATGAATGTGAAACATTAATTTTTTTTCATGGAAATGCAGGAAATATTGGACATCGGTATGAATTAAATCGGAGATTTTTTAAATCAAGTTGACACTCTATTTTTTTTCTCTTTCACTTGGAAACGATTTAGGATATTCAAAACATTCTTAGATTAATTTCATTCAAGAATAAATTAAAAACATTGTCATCTATTCTAAACTATGCAGTTCAATATCTGTAATTTTTGATTTCGAAAGTCAAGATAGATAATTAAAAAAAAATATTAAAATACATGGAAAAACCTTTATTGAATATTTACTAAATAAGAACATTGCTAACATCTCAAATATATCTTCCATAGTATTTATCTTGAAAATAACAAAATTTATATTTTTTTCTTTTTGTTTTGATCTCACTCGTGTATAGGTAATAGTTTGCTTCCGTTATCATAGTGACGTATCAGTTTCGAGTTAGAAAAACTTTGAGAAACAAAACGTTCTCGTGATCATAGGACTTGATTGATGCAGTACACATTCTCATGGGAGTCAAACATGATGAAGAGATCTTTCTAAAATAGGAATGTATTTGGTAAAATCCCTTTGCGTATGAATTAAAAAAGTCTCTTCACCTTTGTACATTCATGTTTTTATTACAGAACAGCGCATTCATGATGAAAGAAAACATGTCTTCAGATATACAACACGTGGAGATTTGTTCTATGAAGTATTTATTCAATCTGAGAATGTATTTCTTTTCGTAAAAAGATCTAAAGACATTTTTCGAGCCAGACACATACAAAAAAAATATTGAATGTATATTCAACTGCTGTTTGTATATAAACTATTTCTTCACAGACAACTGTATTTATTCAAGGTAACTTGGCAACTAATAGCTATGCTAATAGTACATTTAAGCAATTAACTCCAGGGTATCTTCGTCCCTTTTCTGAAATTTCTGGAGAACAGGTTGTCAGAAAAATTTGAAATTTTCACAGTACGCAGATCTTGACAAGTGGAGTAAAAGTTGTCATAGACTGACAGTTCCCAGATGCTGTCTTCTATGACATAATGAGATTACAATGGCGAAAAATTGCTCCCCCGTTTCTCCGACATGCTATGCTCGATCGAGCTGAACTTTTTTTTTTGACAGACACTAAACATACTTTGGAGTGTACATCTTTTTATTATTTTGTTCTTCGAATAAAAAAGCCAAAATATCAAAGCTACCCTAAAAAATGCATGTCTTTTTTTGTAACAGCTACCAGAAATCAGTAGAACAACATTTTTTGAAACCAAAATAAAATACAGTGTATAGAATCAATGAACAAAAGTTTTGAGCCACGGAAGAGGAATATCCTTAAATGAGTTTGACAAAAAAAAAATTTAACTTTCCTTTGTTTCAGTTATTTAGCTTTTGAGAAGATGAGATATTGCCAGTGACATATCTACAGTGGGCAACAACGTGGATATTAGATGAAAAAATGAAAGTGAACTTCTTCGGAATTTGATTAGTAACTTATACACTTTGATTAACGATCAGGGTTTTGGTAAAGAAAAATTTTGTCCCAGCTGCTAAATTCATTGGAAAAACTTAGCCACAAACTCAACGCCTTCAAAGAAAAACATAATTTTTTTTCATCTATCTTATTTTTTTGGGTAGAAGAAGCCAACATTTCTATGAAAAGAAATCATTTTTGACAGAAAATAAGTCATGTCCCCGTGCTCAATAAAAATTTTCTTTTTAATTAGATTACAAAATGTTCATTTACTCTATCAAGCATGTAATATTAACGTTCTTCTATTTGATTATCGTGGTTATGGAAAATCAACTGGTAAACCATCTGAAGCAGGTTTTTATATAGATGCACAAGCTGTTTATGATTATGTTCGTAAACGTACTGATCTTAATCAGGAAAAAATCTTTTTTTTCGGTCGTTCACTTGGTGGTGCTGTTGCATTACATCTTGGTAAAAAAGATTAAAAAATAAATAAATAAATATCTAAATTCTCATTTGTTCTTTTTCTTTTTTTATTCTTGTATAGCTTCGCATCTTGCTGAAACAAATGAAACATTACCATTATATTGTGTTATTGTTGAAAATACTTTTACATCAATACCTGATATGGCTAAAAGATTATTTCAAGTTTTTATAATTGATTATATACCAACTTGGTGCTATAAAAATGTGGTATGATTTAAAAGAAAATATTTCAATCTAGTTTTTTTTCTGCTACTTTTTGTTTTTTAATATAGTTTTCATCAATTAAAAAAATTCGTCATATAAAAGTACCAGTACTCTTCCTTTCCGGTGCACAAGATGAATTAGTTCCTCCACAAATGATGCAGAAATTACATGAGGTTTGTTAAGACTTAGACGATCAATGAATGATAAAATGTCGAAATCGTTTTTATAACAAGTAAATCTTGAAAGTTGATTACAGTCGCTGAGGCGGATACTAAAAAACAATACTATATACTGTCGTTTCATACAGTTTGTGATCGTAAAAAGCTATAAATCGATATTTAGTAAATACAATATTACGACTATGTATTGTATTGTACCGTCGTTATACTGTGCCTACTAAGCGGCGAAAAAAGACCATCTCAAGCGACCATGCTTATTGGATCTGGAAAGTTATCGGTGTTCTTATTTCATTCGTTGACGACAGAAAATTTACCCGGGCTAAATAAGCATTGTCGTTTTAGATAGGTTTTTTTTTGTCATTTGGTAGACGTAGTATGACAATCGAGTACTCGATTTTCAGACCATTAGCAATTGTATACAGTACAATAGAATATGGTCGTAATACAGCGCCTACCAGATATCAATTTACTGATATTTATGACTGTAAACTGTATTAAACGATAATATATAGTACTGTGCAATGTAAGATTAATATTGGATTTTCATAAAACTGTTTATTTTTAAAATGCTTAATTATTTATCCATATAAAAGATAGATCTAACTAATATATTTGTTTTAAGGAATGTACAAGTCCGAAAAAACAATTAATCTTATTTTCTGATGGTCAACATAATACAACATGGCTTTCATATAATTATACAACTCAGATATATAAATTTCTTCATGAAGTAAATAATTTCATTTGTTTTATTTATTGTATAATTATATATATATATGTGTACATTCATTTTAGTGCTCAATATCATTGGAAACAACACCAACAGCATCGAGTGTTAATTAAATAATAATAAAAAAACCAACCAACTAGTACATATATATATATATTCATTTTTCTGTTGAAATAATATTTAATGTTGTCTAAATGTTTTGTATCTCTTTATTTCAAAGTTTTTTTTTCCTCTTCTCCATTTTATGATATTTGAAACAAGACCAAACCAAAAATGAAATAAACATGATACTGATATTATTATCTTAGAATTGAAATAAAAGATTTCTTCGTTTTTTTTTTTTCTATAAATATAATTCTTATCAATAAGTAATAATCACTTAATGTCATAAAAAATTGATAGACAACGTAAACTTTGTGTAATTAGTTGTCAGATTTATTTGACTATCACTTTATCAGTATACATACGATGTATCTATGTTTTTCTTAGGGTGATGACAGTATATGTATATAAAAGGTGAATTAGAAATGAAGATTAATATATGTAAAATAAATACTAGTTATTTTATGAATTTAGATTTGACACAAAAAAACATGTCAATCTATCAAATTTCCCCTGTTTTTTTCTTTTACTACATGTTATTATAGCATGATAAAATAGATTAATATAAAGTGTCTATGTATGTTTTATATTATCTCCTATGTCTTTCTTTAGAATATTCAATCTATTGCAAACTATGTCAATGTTATACAGAATTAAATATACAATAATGAATTATGTTTCTATTGATGAATTTCTAATAGTTTGCACGAGATCTTCTTTTTTTGTGTCTTCAATCTAGTATTTCTTTTTTGGAAATAGAATGTTGTTGAATCAAATTTCTATATCTTAATAATACATATATAAATATACAAGATGATATCCAATGGTTCTATCATCTAACTAGAATAACAGACTGTGTTCTTTTTCTTTTCTTTTTTTTTTCTTCGTACAATCTCTGAAATGATAGCTAATAATTTATTATTATTATTTTTATGTTATATGTGTTGTAACTGATATCTCTGATAATTCTATATATTTAGAAGTGTTTATTTAATCAGTCAACTAGAACAATCAATTATATGTAACATCAAAAAAAAAGAAACTGGTGGAGTAAGATAATATTTCTGATATGAATATATGACAATGTTCTTGTCATTTCTATTGACACCAACGATAGTTCTTCTCAGAGACAATTATTCTTATTTTCAACTATGTATTTTCTATTAATTTTTCAAAATTTATCATAATGAACAATGTAATTATTAGATACCTATTCTATTTTTTTATTCTCCTATTCCATAGTAATAAAATTTATTCATCATCTTCTATAATTCTTTATCCATCATTTCAACGTATTTTTGATCAATTATTATATAATTCAACATTACCTCAATGTACAGAATTAATATGTAATCAAACTGAAACACAAGCAAATTTTTCTCATATAAAATTATCTAATGAAAATTTATTAAACTTATCATTATATAATAAATTAAATAAAAAAAATAATGGACCATATCTTATAACATCAACTGGTATTTATCGTGGTAGACGACTTGAATATCATAATCGTTATATTGATCAATTTCTTGGTATTTATTATGGTGAATTACCTGAAACTTTAAAAAAACCAATTAAAAAACGTTTTAATTATTCAATACAAAATGCAACAAAATTTAGTCCATCTTGTATGCAATCATTATCAATGACAAAAAATCTTTCATATGGTTCATTTGTTATGCAACATGATTTTAATGAAAATTGTCTTTCATTAAATATCTATCGAGCTGATATACGTTATGGAGAAAAACCTAAAGCTATTATGTTATTTTCTCATGGCGGATCAAATCAATTAGGTAAAAAACAAAAAATCAAAAGAATAAATATCGTTTTTATAAATGAAATGAAATTTTTGCTTAGGTAGTGGATCATTATTTGATGGAAGTATATTAGCTAGTGAAGGTGATATTATTGTTATAACAATGAATTTTCGTCTTAATTATCATGGATTTTTATCAAGTGGAGATGGTCGAGTCAAAGGTATTTGTTGTTATTATTTTATTTTTATAAATAACAAGACAATGAAAAGTTTGATTTGAGTTATTAAATTTATATTTGAATAGTTCGTATGTTTTTTTAAAGATTATATATTTAATAGAAATTAATAGATAATTTCTTGTTATTTCTTTATAGAAACTGTCGAATGACGTCAGTTCGCTTGCAAAATAATTCTTATCTTTTTATCTGCTTATCCTTCTAGATGTATTATTTATTATGAATGTACTTTGTCAGGAAAAAAATCATACTACATTGTTTTACTTATCGAGATTTTTGTGTCTTTTTTTTGACACATTACAATTAACATATTTTCGTCATGAAACATAGGAATCTTTATTCTATACATTAGTCTTCTAATAATTTCTCAATGTAACTTCCAAATACAAAATTTACATATTCTCTTGAGATATAGCATATCAATAGAAAATATGTTATTTAAACTTCTAAACCTAGATCGTAATTTCAGTTCGAAATATTGAATTTTTGTTTTCTTTGTCCTAAATTATTTATTCCTTTTTGTTTCGGTGCATTGATCAAATAAATATATGAATAAAAAAAAAACCAAGAGAGATCACTGTTGAACTTTTTGATAGACATTGAAAATATCTCAATCTAGCAGTATTCAAGATTACTGAAATATCCATACGACCTTCATCATAACATTGCTAAAATTTCATTAAACATTCTTCTGTTATGACTTTATGTTTTCGACGTTTTCGGATTGGAACCTCTATGTTATCTCGTATTCTTGCAATCGATACTAAAGATTGTTATCGTAATGTAAATGTTTAGATGTGAAGAATTCACAGGTTTTGTTTTTTTATTCGATAATGTCGATCTTTTGAATAATTAGTAGTATATGGTGTTATAGTATATTTGAAAAGTTTATTGGAGTTTTTGTTTATTTGAAATTTATTAAGTACCTTGAAAAAGTTTCATGTTTCTTATAAGATCATCGTATAGAAGAAGAAAATGAGTTTGTACACATCATCTCTACTAGGAAGATGGGAATCCACATTTTTGCAGGCTTGAATCCGAGAAAACCTAAACTTCGAGACTCGAGTATTTTATCATCAATATCTGACACTCTTTGTGTACATGAACAAGTGAAGGATAAAGATTTTAGCTATTTATGGACTAGTCTCAGAAAAAAAGTCAACATACAGTTGTTTCTTGTTGTACACATTCTCATAACTCGATGCTTAATAAATCAAATATTTTCACTTACGAGGAAATCGCTCGGAAAATCGTCAAAGCGACATCTTCAGCTATATAGAATAGTTTTAGTTGTTTTCATATAAACGAGATCAAGCAAGTAGGGAGCTGCGAATACAGATTCTTATGGATTCAAACCTGCAGCTCCCTAATCTCTAGACGATAGATTATGAATAAATCGAAAACATATACATTCAAAATATGATCCTTTTTTTTTTGTAATACATAAAAAAAACTAATCAATAATAAAATTTGTTTACAACAAAAGGTAACTATGGTCTTTGGGATCAACTATTAGCAGTCGAATGGATTTATGAAAATGCACATTTATTTGGTGGTGATCGAGATCGAATAGTTCTAACCGGTCATTCAGCAGGTGCTGGAAATGTTATGTTAATACCTGGTATATTACAAATTCAATATTATTTGTTTTCTTTTTTTTTTTCATTGTTTTTCGTTCTATTTTATCTAGCAAGTCATCATTCTCGTGGTATGATACGACGTGTTATATCACAATCGGGTACCGGTTTAGCACCATGGAGTATAAATCATAATCCAATGAAAACACTTAAACGTTTTTCAGAAGATTATTGTTGTAAACGTTCAAATGAAAATGAAATGATTAATTGTATTTATAACTTATTAGAAAAAAGTGATCGAGATATTTATCATCTTCATATAAGTCTTAATATTGGTATAGAAAAAAAACGAATCAACTAATATATATATATATATGTTTTTTTTTTCTCTCTTTTAGCTGATGATAATCCATATCCTGTTATTGATAATGATTTTATAAATGATACAATTGAAAATATTTTAAAAAGTGATATTTATAAAAATATTGATTTTTTAACAGGTGTTACATTAAATGAAGGTCTTTATTTTGCTGAATATCATATAAAAAATTTTTATAATGAACGTCAAAATCCATTATATTTAATAAATAGATCTTCTTTAAATAAAAAATGTCCAAATATTTATTCAAATTTAACTACTATAAAACCATCAAGTATAGTATTTAAAGGAAATCCAACAATACAAATAGAATCTAATAATAATGAAAAAGATAATTTAATGAGTATTGAACGACGAATAGATATTGAACAAGCATCAACTAATGAGTTAGATGTGTATCTTAAAAATTTTGTTCAATTAAATTATATTGAACAATATATTTATGCAAATTTTCGACATGGAAAATGTTTTATTAATGATGTCAAAAAGAAATATAAATTACCAGGTATTAAATAGTACAATACAAAAAAAAAAAAATTTAGAATTTTTTTTTTTTTATTATTTAGCTCAAAATAATATAACAAATCAATTAAGTCTTTTTATTGATCTTGTTTCGGATTTAATGTTTAATTTTCATATGGTTCTTTGTTTAAATTTACTTTCTAATATACCAATTAGAAATGCATCAAATTATGCATATATTTATTCACATCGACCAACATCGAAAGTACTTAGTGGATATCGTGATCAACTTAAATTATTACCAGAAGCTATTGGACATTTTGCTGAATTAGGTAATTAAATAAATATTATTTTTCTTTAGATTCTATTTAATCATTTTGTTATTAAATTTAAATTTAAGAAATAAAAATCTTTAATTAAGTTGAAGTAATCGAATAGAAATATTTTTTTTTTTGTTTTGATTAATTAATCATATTCATTTCTATTTTGTAGGAAAAACTGAATGTAATTTATTACATTTTAATATCATCTGTATTGTTAAATGATAATTTTCTTTCGTTAAAATAATTTCGTACATCTTTATCCAAGAAAAAGACTT